GCCATGGCCCAGTGAGTGCGGGGTGGCGGGACGGCCTCGGTGCCCCCGCGAGGGAGACGGAACGGGGCGGGGGGAGGGGGTGATCGCTGCGTGACGAGGGAGCCGTTAGCGACCGTTAGCGACCGTTAGCGGGGTGCGGTGCGGCCCCGAGGGCAGCGGGGACCGCGCGGCCCAGCCCTGGCAGTTGTTCCGCGAGCGGCAGCGAGGCGCTGCTCACAGCCCCCTTCCCGCCCCGGCCCTTTTGCCTTCGTGCCGGCGCGCAGTGGCGGTGCCCCGAGAGCCCTTGAGCCGCGCTGGGGCGCGGACCCGCCGGGACGTCCCGCCCGAAGCGGAGCCCGGCAGCCCGTGGTGCGGCCGGGGCTGCGCGGCGGGCACGGCGAGGGGCCGCCTCGCCGCTAACGCCTGCGGCCGCCCTTGTTGTGCTTCCCCTTCCCAGAGCTGACATTGCTTTGATCGGACTGGCCGTGATGGGGCAAAACCTCATTCTGAACATGAACGACCACGGCTTTGTGGTAAGTGGGGAAAAGCCTTATTCAGGAGGGCTGATTCACCGCACCTGGGAGCAGAGCTGGGTGCTTTGGGTTCTCCTTTCCCTTGTGTCGGCCTAGTGTGTGTGGTGTTTCCTCCTTGTGCTCTGCTCTTTGTCCTGGGTTACAGAGAAAAAAGGCACGGCACGCCTGTGSTTAGCCACTTACTTGATGTATTAGTTAGGCATTAGCATGATTTTCTCCTTAAGTTTACTTTGGGCTTAGCTGTACATCACGATAGCACTTGCAAAGACACGCAGAAAGCGGCAGGTTTGTCCCTGCCCTTTGCCTTTAGAGAAGGGGGAAGTGGGAGGCCGTGTGATGTTGAATCCTCCTCTCGTAATTCCTAGTCTGAGCTAAAGTAACAGTTCTGTTGGCAGCTTTCATGAACATCCCCTCTTGCTCCCCTAGGTTTGTGCTTTTAACAGGACAGTTTCCAAAGTGGATGACTTCCTGGCCAAAGAGGCCAAGGGAACCAAAGTGATTGGTGCTCACAGCCTGGAGGAGATGGTCTCTAAGCTAAAGAAGCCTCGTCGCATCATCTTGCTGGTGAAAGCTGGAAGTGCAGTGGACGACTTCATCAATAAACTGGTGAGGCTGATGTTCTTTCTGCTTGTAACTTTTCACTGCCTCTTGGAGAATGTTGCTCTAGCAGATCTTGGTTGTTTGTCAGTGGTGAATTTTTGAACACACATATGAGGCTAARATGCTGATTTATTTTTGGTAGGTGCCTTTGTTGGAGACTGGAGATATCATAATTGATGGAGGGAATTCTGAATACAGAGACACCACAGTAAGCCTTGTACTGTTTTATGTCAAAAGTGCGTGGGTAAGGATATTCCCTTCCCATGACTTTCTCTTTTGGTCACTTTAACATTCCACTAATAAGATACCTCTCCTCTGCACAGAGAAAGCGAGACTGAATTAGTATATGCATATGTAGGTGCTAATAGTAGTTTARGACAGTTCCATAAGTACACTTACAAGGGGTGTTGTTCTAATAATTGAACAACATACTCTAATAGTATCAGATACTTAAGATTTGATCTTACCTAGTAAGAAGGCTAGAATTTAGGTTTCTAAGTAGTATGCACAATATTCTATATGCTTTTTTGTMCATGACCACAGGATAATCCACTGAGATAAAACTTTGCTTTGGACCTAATCTGCCTGCACCACATGCCTGTACCTTGCTTGTATCACCTGCTACTAAATTCGGAGCCTTTTCTAGCCTCAGCACTGTGCTCTTCTGTCTGGTGCTTGCAAGCACTTTGTTCTCTCTGTCTCCTTTGCAAGGAGATATGTCCGAGCAGGAGGAAGTTTCCTAATGTTCTCCTTGCTGCATGTACAAAMCCTCTGCAAGACTGTTGCCATGCCAAAGCAGAACTGAAGACCTCATGTTAAGTTTCAAATTAAGACCTGGTTCTGGCATTAAAATATTTATATATAAAATGCTACTTAATSTGCTCTTTCTTTCCAGAGGCGCTGTAAAGAACTGAAGGAAAAGGGCATCTTGTTTGTTGGAAGTGGTGTTAGTGGTGGAGAGGAGGGTGCAAGATATGGGCCTTCACTCATGCCAGGAGGAGCCAAAGAAGCCTGGTAAGCCTGAGTTAGTGTTTCTTTTTCAGGCTGGTTTGCAACAATAGCCTCCTGTTAGTGTTGAGAGCTGGAAGAGGGAGGGAGGAAGGGCATGGGTGTGGAAAGAACACAATATGTTGCTATCTTACTTCCTCAAGGCTCACTATTTCTCAACCTTCTTGTGGTCTTAGGCCAGTGCTAGGTTTTTGTGGTAGGCAAATCTTAGTTAGTTTTCTCACTCAGGAATATACTGGCAAAAAAAATGCCTGCAGAAATCTGAAGGCGGAAATGCACAGAAGAAGAAAGAATTTTGCCTAAATAAAAATATATTTCTTGATTTAGTTTTCCTCTGGGATGCAATGGAAGTTATTAGCCATAAAGCAGGCAGCAACAGATATCCCCACAGTGACATGCATGTCAAAGGAGGCTCTGCCTATTGCACACGCGTTTTTCTGCGAGTGTCTCTGTCTTGCCGTTCCACGTTTTCATACCTATGTTACTGACAAGGTGTATCTATTTTCATATGAAGCTTTATTCCTGATTGCCCATTCTCTCTGTAAATGTAGAAGTGTTTTTCTCCAGGCCTTGTTTGAGCTTTGGAAACATTAAGTCCCTGTCTGTTTGCTTCAGTCTTTCATCGTGAAATCAGCCTGTTCAAACTTGATGGTGCAAAAGCTGGCARTGACACTAACGATCTCTACAGTGTTTCGTCTTCTTTTTGCCCTACTGCTCCGTGAACACTGCTTCTGTTTGCCACCCTTTTGTGAACTTTATCCCCTGCTTTCACTGCACTTCCAGCCCATGTCATGCTCTTTTCCTGTGGTAGCTCTTACTTATTCCAGACTTGGCATTCCATATTGCTATCATGTTGGCTTAGCAATTTACTATGCAGGAGGGAGTTTAGCAATTGCTAAAGCTTATGAATTACAGCAATAATACAAGTTAGTATATCATGTCTTGCATTCACGGAGTTCTATCCCCCTTTCTCCTCCTCCAGATCAACTTGATGTTTTCTTGTAGTTACGGAGCAAAGCAGAGTTTTGCTTCAGCTCTGACTCCRATCTTTTCTGAATGTGAACCTCTCTCATAATTTGCCCTGATTTTCCTGCCTGTAAAAATATGATAATATTTGGGCAACTTTAGCWGCACAGAGGAGGTTGGACTAGATGATCTCAAGAGGTCACTTCCAACCTTGAATATTCTGCGATCCTGTGATTCTGTGRTCTTGCTTGTCTGCACTGTGCTGTAGGAATATGACGTCTGTCCCAATTCCTTGCAAACAGTGTTTAACTCTGGGAGAACCTCACTTTTTAATGGATATTGCTGTATTCAGCACCTTACCCCATCACAGTGATGAATTTTCTTTTGCTGTATTTGTGTCCTTTGCTGCCCTGCTGAGCTGTACCATTTTTCCCCACAGGCCCCACATCAAGACAATATTTCAAAGCATTGCTGCTAAAGTGGGAAGTGGGGAACCTTGTTGTGACTGGGTAAATATCGATTTGATGTTGACCTTTGCTTGTGGTTAGGTCCATGCTTAAGTAGCTTGGTTGCTGACCTTAAGACCAGCCACGGTGGTGGGTTGATTTTCTGGCTGGCTGCATTCGGTTTAGATTTACCATCTCTGATAACTTCTGCAATGCAAGGGAARGATGACGTTTGAGTGGATGGTGGAAGCTAAGTCTATCTGTGATTAGAYGCATGATGTTTTCAGTTAGCACTGGGGTAATAAAGTATTCTTGGATGGAAATAAAAGCTATAGGCAGGCATCACTGGTAGTGGTGGCAGCAGTGTTGCTGATGGCTTTTTTCTTTTTGATGTCTTTCAACAGGTAGGAGATGAGGGGGCTGGTCACTTTGTGAAGATGGTGCACAATGGGATTGAGTATGGAGACATGCAGCTGATCTGTGAGGCTTACCACCTGATGAAGGACGTGGTGGGCATGGATCATGACGAGATGTCAAAGGTGATCTGTAGTTTTTGATGTCTTTCTGAGCCATAGTGACTGCCTGCAGTGTGATGGAGGCGGCAGGGCTTGAGTAAAAGGTGGTCTGTGTGCATGAAGGAAATTTGTGTGCTGTGCTTTCTGCTAGGGTCAAGTGCACAGTACTCATGAGCTTAAAATGAGGTAGGAAACTGCAGGCACTTGCACCTAAATGTTGATATGTTGTTGAACTCTTCAATTCTGCAGTTATTTTTTTTCCAAGGAGGATCTGCTTGTGAAGGAATATGAATTGACTTTCCCTAAAAAAAAAAAACTAATGAAAGATTGAGCATTATAATCAAGCAGGTAATTCTTGCAAAAACTTAGTTGAAGCAAGTTAATAAATGATGTCTCTTCGAATTATATAAAAGGATAGTACTCCTTCCAATCTTCAAGGCCTAAGATGATCAACAATAGGATAGTCAAGGCCTCTGCCTTTCAGTTTGGAGATGGGTGCTTTGCAGCTCTGAGTCTAGGGTGGCTCCTTCCAGGTCAGGGCTACTGAGCAACACTCTTCCAGCGATGCTGAAATCACCGGTAGATGTGGCAGGGTACCAAGAACCGTTAGTTAACACACTGTGATCCTCTTCTGTACTATATCTATCAATCAGTAGACATATTTATATATATATGTGTGTGTGTGTGTGTGTGTATATATGTCTTTGTATATTTCCTTTCTTTTTCATCTTCAGGTATTTCAGGAGTGGAATAAGACAGAGCTGGACTCTTTCCTGATTGAAATCACAGCTAATATTCTCAAATTCAGAGATGCTGATGGCAATTACCTCCTCCCAAAGATCAAGGACAGTGCAGGCCAAAAAGGCACAGGAAAGTGGACAGCCATTTCAGCCTTGGAATATGGAGTTCCTGTCACACTCATTGGTAAATGGTTCTTTGATCTGGCCTTGTCTTTCCTACTTGCATACTTGTTACACAAATAAGTCTGATAATTCACAGTAATCCCAGAGATGAACCCACATGGTTGCTCCAGAGAGCAAGCTTGAGAACCCTTACTGTTTTTCTTCTCCAGATTCTTTTTACCATGTTCCTCAACTTTGGGCTCTTTTCATGTCTGTCCRCGGTATCTTCCCAGTTCTGATGATGGTTTGTGCCAGGTGAATAAGAAAAGCATCATGATAAATTTATGTAACATGCCTCTGAGTAATCTTCTACCTTATCTCCTCATCCAAATCCCACTATATCCTCAAGAAAACATTTTTAGAAATATAGAAAAAAGTAAGTCTTTTTGCTTGGGCATCACTTGATATGTCTATAGCCTTTTCTAAAGGCATAAGAAATTTTCAGAYACCTGCTTAAGTATTAAACTCTTCTCCTGTTTCTGTGCTGTTCCTACTACAGATCCAGCATAGACTTTACCTTTGAGTAAATAAAATGGTTGAAGAGTTTCTGCCCTCAGATTGGCTTTATTTTTCTTGCTTTCTCTTCATTTTTTCCATTGTCTAGTTGGTCAAGTCCTTTTGTATTACAAGATAAACTATATTCAGTCGCTAAAGAGCTTAACTGCAGTGATAGCTATCAGAGTAATGTGGCTTCATTGCAACAGCAGATTTTTACAGAACAAATTCTTCTGTAAATGGTTTTAGTGTTCTACCACAGCTATCTTCTTTTACTTCTAGACTTGGGGGAGAGAGAGAGAGAAAAAAAAAAATTGCTTACTTATGCTGTTAATATTCCCATGTTTGGAGTTCTTCCAAAGATTAAGGGTGGAGAAGGCACTCCCTGATTAGTCCTTTGCAGTACTGAGTAGCACTGTTAGGTAATAGTGAATTGATAGGGAAGTGTGTGCAAGAGCCTTGTGCAAGCGTGGCCCTTCTTAGGGCAGTTGCTCTGTGTGTGGGGTGTTATTGCATAAGCATGACTTGCAGACTTCTCCCTGTCAAAGCAGATTCATACTGCCCCTGCTCCTTCCTGGTTCCCTCCCACCCCTTCCTGCCCTTTCCCCAGTGCAGAAGGATGTTTTTGAAGAAATAGGGAGGAGAAACCAGTTCTGGTTATAGCTCAATTACTGTGAAAACATGATTCATTTTTTTTAAAAAGTGTTTTTTTCTTTTTTTTTTTTTTGATAGTTCACAATGCACATGTCTGTGTTCATTTTAAAACACATCTGCTTAATGTGAATTGACATTTATGCAGCTGCTTTTTATCTTCAGAAGTATGATTCAGGAGTTAATGAAATCTGCAATCCTTGTCTGTTCCCAGGCTGCAGCACAGCACTATTYTATAGATGAGGAGAAAGATCAAAATAACTTCTTAAAGCTAAAGCAGGTGAAGATTCTAAAGATAAATWGTGGATGCCTCATGKKTTTTTTTGTTTTGTTTTCAGATGAAAACTGTGCCAGTCAACATTCTTACTGACTGGTAATTTGGTCTCTTGGTAGTTTTTCTGAAAATATTTGTTTATACACCTTTTTTTTTTTCCCTCCCCGTGAATCTGTTTAGCTATGAGCTGTTTATCACTTGGTGGCTCTCTCACTATGTACATAAGGGCAAGCATCTCAGATAGACTTTAACAGTCATATTGACCTTGCTAACTGTCTGCCCTGTTCTGTACTACCTGCAGGTGAAGCTGTGTTTGCCCGGTGCCTGTCTTCCCTCAAGGATGAGAGAACACAGGCCAGTAAGCTGTTGCATGGACCTAAAATGACTCAATTCAGTGGGAACAAAAAGGCCTTTCTGGAGGACATACGCAAGGTGAGTCACAGTGCTCTGCCTCTTGGAGTKCTCTATTAGAGTGGTAGAGATCAAAGCAGGTTTCAGGTGCTGTAAACTCTGTCAGGGCATAAATCTGAACAGTTCTTGCATTTCCCTTTCGTGGCAGTAGCTTCCTGCATTTCTGCAACCCATAGTGTATTGTCTAGTGCTGACACACATGGCAATATGACCAATTCCCTTACTGGCAATATAAAATCCTGAAGGAATTTAAATCCCACAGTGGACATTGACAGCTAGCTGGGATGCAGAGATTGTAATTCATGCACAGCAGCTCCCTTTTTCCCCCTGCAACATTCCTGCCGTGRGAATGAGAATCTATCTGCTGAGACAAAACTTTCCAACAAGCGGAAAGGACATGTAGCTCCTCATGTAGTATTTGCACATTGGAGAAAGGGGAAATTGCCAGTAAAAGGCTCTGGAACGAAAGAATAGTCTTTTGAGTCCTTTTCATAGATACCTACGTTTACAGGATAATACTACAATCTCAACAAATTTTGACTAAAAGCAAATTGGATAAAGTTATTTATTGACATTTGAGTATTAGTTAGGATTCCTCTTAAAACAAGATAGACTATGTGRACGTTTTTTCTCTTCTAAAGTTTACTCATCAGATTTTCAGGGTAGAGAAAAATCTGTCTTGTCTTGATCTTGATACATACCATCCACTAAGTGATTTTTGACCAAAGATGTGGAATGTGGCTGCTAAACTAAAGTTTGATAAGATACATACCAAGCAGAGTGTGCACACTTCTCGTTCACCTTTGTGAGCATTCACTAAATTTGAATTCATTTTTCTAGGCCCTGTATGCTTCCAAGATTATCTCATATGCTCAAGGTTTCATGCTGCTCAGACAAGCAGCCAAAGAGTTTGGATGGACACTCAATTATGGTGGCATTGCACTGATGTGGAGGGGAGGCTGCATCATTAGAAGGTACCTGGGACCAAGGGTGCTGATGGGGAGAGGTAGTACAGATGAGAAGAGGAGGCAGTTTAGTTTATATAGTGTTAGACTCACAAGCTAAAAATTTTCTTGGAAAATCCTTGGAGTTAATCAGCTGGTAAGACACTGAGAGGCTATTCCTGTAGTGAGCACTGAAGATTACCAGATGAAGCTAATTTCTTGGTGGCTTAGCTATTTTCTTTTGTTTTTGTTCTCATTTTTCCTGATGTTAGAATTTGAATATGGCTGAGTCAAATCTTGGCACTGTCATTTTTGGATTCTAGGCCACTGTTGAAAGCTATGAGATCTGATTCCTGGTTTGTATTTGTTCTGTCTAGCGTGTTCCTGGGAAAAATCAAAGATGCTTTTGATCGAAACCCCGCGCTCCAGAATTTACTGTTGGATGATTTCTTTAAGACAGCTGTTGAAAACTGTCAGGTGAGTTTCCAACAAAAGAAAGGCATTGTAGAAAATAATTTACAGCCTGGACTCCTTTAGCTTCTTTTCCAGAAGTTCCCATCACAGATACATTTATGCTGAAGAATGAAAAGGCAGAGAGGATATCTTTGAAATCTATTTATACAACTTCCTTAATCCCAAAGATCTCTAATCCTTAAGCTCTTTGGGACTTTGTAGTGTATCTGTACACACATAATACATTGGTCTGGGAATTAATTGTCTGTGGTTAAATGTACTTTTATTGAATAGAATATATCAGTCTTGCATGATTAGGGCAGGAAAGCAACAATACAGTTGGAGGTAGCTGAACTTGCACAAGGAAGTTACTGTAGTGAGGTAGGCTATGCTGAGGTCCAAAGTAGAAATTTTGCTAATGCCAGGGTTAGTGATCAGCCTTTGAAAAAATGCCTACAAGTTCCTATTGCCAATGTGTCATCAGAAAGTTGGGGAATATTAGTTCTAAATAAAAAAAAAAAAAAATCATCTCTGAAGCGCTACCTAATAAATCAGCATTCAGATACTTCAAGCTGTGAACTGAAATCTTGTCAGAATTGTGACTTGGAGTGGATAATGTTTATGAAAAAGAAATTATTCTCTTTATTTTTTCTTACATCTCAGATGTAACCGGTGTGCCTCGTACAAAGTTACAAGGTGTATTTGTAATGTCAATCTAATGGTAATGCGTGGGCAAAATAATACAGTCTGTGCCRTGTCATGTTACTTCTCTTTGATACTGTCAGAGCTACTGTTAAAAACTTAAAGATTTTCATTTTATTATTTTATGCAAGAGTATAGCAATTTAGTGGAAATGTGATGGCAGGAAAATCGGTCTAGTATGTGTGAAAAGGTAGACTGTGCCTGTCTTGTGCCTACTAAGCACTTGGATTTCAGTAGCATGGAAGTAAAGCTCCGCTCTGCTGCTGTTGTTTGTAGTAACTCTGAACTAACAGTGTCCCAGAAGTGCCATTCACTAGACCTAGGTCTGTCCAAAGAGTGTCCTGATGAGGGCAGCTGAGGACAGGCAGAACTAAGAACAGGTTATTTGGCTGACAAGACATTTTTCAGTGTTTATAATTCTTTTTACTGAAGCTGAATGTTCAACGCAAATTACTAAATCAAATGTGAAACTGAAATGAGGATTATCCACGTGTCTGAAGTAATGTGCTGACCTCTTATGCCTTTGGGCRGTCTTTGTGCTGTGCTTAATTAGATGTTCTGAAAACACCTCATTATTTGCTCAGTATCTTCTCTGTGTTCTCACATGGATCTCACTTTTGGGATGCATTGTTGATAGTTATGTGAGAGAGCAGCATCCTTATCCTTGCCTGGGTTTGTGGTTTAATTGTGCGTGAAGTGTATGTCTGCACCTTGTCCTGTTTGCAAATTCTGGCTTACTGGCCCTTATTTTGGATCAATCTTTTCTGTGTAAAATTAGGCACCTACTGGTTCAGACTTGGCTATTAGATCTTATATAATGTGAAATAGCATCTGCTTTTAGACAAGAATAGTCTATATGCCTGCACGTGGCTCTCATGCAGCTGTGATTAGTTTCACTTTTTCTTCTCTTCCAGGACTCCTGGCGACGGGTAATCAGTACGGGAGTCCAGATTGGTATCCCTATGCCCTGTTTCACTACAGCACTTTCTTTTTATGATGGATACAGACATGAGGTTCTACCAGCTAACCTGATTCAGGTAGGTGTCTGAGATAGTGTAGTAGATCTTCTGTGAACTAAAGTTAATGATAGCTTGACTTTTAGATTAGTAATTAGAATCATAGAATGCCCAAGGTTGGAAGGGACCTCAGAGGTCATCSAGTCCAACCCCCCTGCTCACGCAGGGTCACCTAGAGCACGTGGCACAGGGCTGCRTCCAAGCGGGTTTTAAAGATCTCCAAAGAAGGAGACTCCACAACCTCTCTGGGCAGCCTSTTCCAGTGYTCTGTCACCCTCACAGTGAAAAAATGCTTCCTTAAGTTCCTGTGGAACTTCYGATGCTTCAGTTTGAAGCCATTTCCTCTAGTCCTATCAMTGTCCACCACTGAAAAGAGGCCGCCCCCCTCCTCCTCCCTCCCTCCCTTGAGGTATTTATACACGCTGATCAGGTCCCCCCTCAGCCTCCTCTTCTCCAGGGTGAACAGACCCAGCTTTCTCAGCCTTTGCTCATAGCATAATTAGCATAATTAGTATACTTGAGTATTTCTTTTGGACTCTTAATAGCTAGATATTAATAAATGTTTCATCGCATTGTTTTTCCTAATAGATAAAGAGTAAGTTTGAATGTTACATTAGGGGAGACAGATCTTACTTCTAGTTGTCATGTAGTTGAGTCTCAGTAGGTACAAATTCTGCTGCTTGTGTGTGACTGATATTCCTGTGTGTGTTCTTATTCTAGGCCCAGCGTGATTATTTTGGTGCACATACATATGAATTATTGTCAAAGCCAGGTGTATTTATCCATACTAACTGGACAGGTCATGGAGGAAATGTGTCCTCTTCTGCCTACAATGTCTAATGGAAATATTTCCAGTTGAAGCCAAGATACTGTAGATCTCAGATATCCCTCCTAGGACCTCCCCACTTTTTAATGTACTGTATTCCAACTTGTGTCTGGGCACTTTTGTAATAACTTGTGGGTATATGTCATATATATCATATTAGAAAGCTAAATAAACTTCCTTATAAATGTATTGAAACATTTTTATTTCTCCTGCTGCTGTCCAAAACAGTCTAAAATGTCTTCATGTGGTATTACATAGCATAAATTTTAAATGATAATATTTTTGTTTTATTATAGTGCATAAGCTCATAGGGATCCAGATAGAGGACTGCATTGCAGTAGCTGCTAAAGTGGAGGTTGGCAGACAGTCTGCACAGTAACGTGACACAGGATTCCAGGGAGGTAAAGGGCTTTGCTGAGCCGCTGCTTACGTGCAACAGGAGATAGCTTGGTTCCTGAAGTTTAGTTCTTAGCTATTCATCTGCACATAGTCATTGACACTGTGAAATCTGCTTGTTTTCCATGCAAAGGTGAAGGGTGGGATGAACTGTAGAAAAACTTGAATGCAGATCTAGAGTGCAAAGATACTTTAAGAGGGATACTCCTGTCACCAAGGCATTTGGTGCTAACTGAAGTTCCTAGTCAATGCCTGAGCATTGGTTGGGAACTGTTGGGTTACCTGCATTGTTAAGTCTTTTAATTAAACATTTCTCCTCTTTGCTTTTTCCTGGGACAAATGAAATGTCTGTAGTGGGATGCTAACATGACCCTAATTAGCTGATGTCCTTCCCCTCTGCCAGTCATCCTAGGACTAGTCAAAATTCAGCTGGACACTTGATTTTTATTATTTTTTCCTAAATATTATTTTTTCCTAAAACATGGCGAGTGTTGAAGTTTGGGCTGTGCGCTCATTTTTGTATTTTGCTCTGCTTATTTCTGCCAAGGCACTCGGTAGTCACACCGATACCCAGTCARTAACTACTACAAAGGTTAGTTTCAAATTAAAACGGTTTTTTTCCCGGATGTGCTGCTGGGTCTAAGCCTGCGGCGCCGCCCCGCTCCGCGTCCCTGCGGCCGCGCCCTGAGGGGCGGTGCGCGACATGGCGGCGGCGCGGGCCCGCCCCGCCGCGCTGCGCGGGAAGCGGCGCCATGGAGGCGGCGGGCGCCGAGGAGCGGCAGCTGCTCGTGCAGGTACGGCGGGGCCGCCGCCGGCCGCCTGCTGCCCTCCCGCCGGCGCCGGTCCGCGCCGCGCCGCGGGAGGGACAAAATGGAGCCGCGGCGGCTGCACGAGGTCCCAAAGCCCCGTTTGGCGCCGTGCGGCTGGAGGCCGAGAGGGCTGAGGGGAGGGTGTCTGTGCACTTGAACGGGAATTTATGTTGTATCCTCCAAAACCACCGCTGCGATTTCCGCGCGAGCTGGCGCAGCGCCCCGTAGAGAACTGACCTGTGCTCCCCTGGGCTGGTTGCAGAGGCTGAAAGCYGCTGTTCACTACACCGTGGGCTGCCTGTGCCAGGACGTGGCCGAGGACAAGGAGCTGCAGTTCAGCAAACAAACTGTGGCCGCTATTTCGGAGATCACCTTCAGGCAGTGCGGTACGAAATCTGTGTGTCTGTTCAAGAACGAGTGCTGGAGACGTTTGTTTGTTTGTCTTAACTCCCCCAGCACTCCTTTATCACTGATGCTGTTTGGTGGCCTGATGATCCAGTTTCAAGTTTCTCACGTGTGCTAGCGCTACCTCCCTGCTACAYCAGGAGTTATTGAAGTGCCTCAGGATGACACATGCACCATTTAATCTAGTTATTTTGTGTATGGGGAGGAATTTCTAATTGTMTGTGCTATCTGTACGAATAATCTTGCATAGAGATTTGTGCATGAACATCCTGTCAATTCTTACACAGAGGGTRTATGACCTTTTGTTTGTTTATGTGTATTCACCCCTCAGCTTCATCCTTCCTATTTCYGCTATGAAATATTTGAAAATTAGATAGGCATTATGCATCTCAGCTGTATTTTTTTGACTTTAGAAGTAGCTATAGAAAAGTAATAGGTATCATTTTCTACTCCAAGAACTTCAAAATATATTGTGTCTTTTTTTTTTCCTCCAGAAAACTTTGCAAAAGATCTTGAAATGTTTGCAAGGTATGTACTGGTACACTTGCWTGTTACAAAGGCTTGCTTTTCTTGCATACCACTCAGATAACTGGGTAATCTTTAAAAATATCTCTTGTACATCAGGTTTCAAGGGGTTCTTTAGCCTGTCTCTGAAATGCAGGTCAAGGTTTCATTGTCCTCCAAGACCACCAAAATTCTGTTTATGACTTCAGAGAAATCTCTCATCCTTCCATCAATCCCCTCTGCTTTTCCTTATCTTAAATTAATTACTTCATGTAATTGTCAAATGGGTTGATAGATAAGGGTACCAGGTGACATGGGAGTGGCGGATGCTTACTAGCATTTCCACATTTCTTCTGGTTGCTCCAAGGAAGAGAGTTTTAAAAAATTAATGTCTGGTGCCCTGGGTCAAAATTCACCCACCAGCCTACTGGAAATAGAAGTCATGCTGCTTGATGTGCTGGTTCCTAAGTTCTGCTTTGTTTGTAAGCAGAAGAGTGGGGATTTAGTTGTGCACAAATGAATTTGTAAAAAGACTTTTGTGTATTGTATTTAGAATAAATGGGCACGTTTACTGGGTCCCTATTTAGTCCTATTAGTTATTGTTCTCAATCACCTGCCTTATGGCCTCACATAACCAATGTTGGCAAACACATGAAGGTTAATTTTTCAATTTTATGCAGGCATGCGAAACGAAGCACAGTCACTTTAGAAGATGTGAAACTTTTGGCTAGAAGGAGCAGTTCTTTGGTGAGATTACTTTCCTGTCACATAGTCATCTTTTTAAATCAACATGTTAGTTCTCAAGAGCATGTGACTGAAGGCCGTAAATGATGAAGCAACTTTTGCTGAAGCAGTTTCACTGTTCTATTGAAGATACATAGGCAAAACTATCCTAATCAATGTTCTTAGCAATCTGTTTAGTTTTTCATCTGCTGCTGCTTGACACTATGGTGTCACTCGCTATGGGACATAGATGTGACTACAATTCAAGCAATGTTTGACTACAGAGATGTTGAGATTCCAAATACAAAAATGTAATAACCAACAGACATGTTGCAACACTGGCAAGTGGGGAAGCAATTATTTTTTCCCCAATGTTGGGTTTCTTTGTTTTAACTTAAGATCATGTATAGCTYGAGTCTTCCTCAGGCTACTGAGGATTCACAGGGTTGTATTTCTCAAATGTTGGTCTATATAAATCCCAGCAGACTTCCATTCATTCATTCATACRTTAAGACATACCTGTGAATGCTTATTTTTGAAGAGGACAATGTCTTCAYAAAGAGGAAACCTTTGTCCTTATATGATACTTGTTAACCACAATTGTACTCCGYATGGCATAAAAACAGAAACTGCACCTCTCTGTTCTAAGGACTTTAAACAGATGCTAGTAAGATTCTGTCCTGTTAATTTTTCTTAACACAAACTCCTTTTGTTCATGTATCTAAGATGATTGTTTTATTGTTCTCAGCTAAAGTATATCACACAGAAGGGTGAAGAAATTGTATCAAGTAACATGGAGCAAAAGGAAAGGAAGAAAAAGAAGTCTAGCACAGCAAAGGCAGCAGAACAAGAAGCAGCTATGGCTGAAAGTGAAGATTCCAACATGGCATGATTTTTCTTTCATGGAACTTCTGTCACCACGTTATCTTACTGCCATATGCAGGCTCTTGCAGGTTAGCAGCAATATTGAAAACTTAGTCTTTTAGGTGAATATGGTTAAGGTTTGTTTGTTTGTCTGTTTTTTTAAGTCCCAAAACTGAAGACCATCAGAATTCAGTCAAGTTTTACAGAAAAAAAATCATTTAAATTGCTCATTAAGAGATAAGTTATTAAAAAACAAATCCTTTATCTAGCAAATTTAGGGCAAAGCATTCTTACTTASCATAAAATTTCTGTACGTGCATCTCCCTCCATGCTGATATTCAGTTCCTGTACTGATAGTGTGACTCTTCCTTGCTTCTATTGTTAATATGTTTGTTTAGGTGTTTTAAGGTTTTTTTTTCCCTTGTTGTCACGATAATTAAAACTTTTTTTGTCACTTTCTCCTATGATATTGTTGATGAACCATCCTCTCTTTCAACAGGCTGCATGACAAACATTACTAAAGTAATAGTCTTCTTAAGGGTGTTCTGAAATACATCACCATTGCCCTCTGCTGGAATGAYAGACTTACCAAGTTCTGGTTAATATATATTATTAGAAAATTGATACAATTCACTGAAATTCACAGGGCTGCTAGGCTTGTAGAAGCATTTAAACCTTGTGATAACATCATAGCTATCTTCCAAGTCCATCTCTTACTTCAAAAGGAAAACYGATCAGTTGTGTAATTAAGAAAAAGGTAAGGCCAACATGTCAGAAACAGATGTGTCTGTGTTTGTTAGCCCTGTTCTGTGAAGTTATCCTTGTCTGAAGCTTTCGTCTGTCACTTCCTCTTCAAACACACATGCATATATACAGTACATATGTACAGCAGGTGCTAGCTGCAGGCTGAAGTTGGTTTACTGGAGTGCTTTGCTGGTTTACTGGAGTGCGTTGGCTGTGGAAATACTAGATAGGTCAGCAGCTCTTTTTTACCAGACAGGAGATCCTAGAAATAAATTGAGTTTCAGTAATCATCTAAAGATCTATAATAAAGCTTACACTTTTTTAAAAATCACTTCACAAGGCTAATKGAACTGTTTAAAAATTCATTAAATGAAGGTGTTTTAGGAGTTTTCACCTTCTTCCATTGATTGTACTATTGAAAAAGATCCAAGAAGCAGTATATAAACTKGACCATTACCATTAAGAAATGATTTTTCATAGAAATTACAGGTTAAGACACAGCACCGAAATCTATTGGCCTATTAAATAGCTAATCACCTCTCATTTTTCACTGGAGAGGTTTGAAGGATGTTGGCTGTAATAGATCTCTGTAGAGGCAGGTATTGGTTACAAATGGATGCAAAGAGTAGCGCCTTACCTCCATCACTGCCTGAGAACGACTGATGAATTAAGCTTCTGTGAAGCTGTCTGACCTAGTCAGACAGTAAGACACAGCTGCACTTGCGGGCCAGAAATGCCAGCAATTTCTTCTAGGTTTTCCTCCCCTTAAGACAGTATCCCACTGAAGGTTTGCTTTCTGATGCTTCAGCAGTACCTGCTTCTTTCAAGACACTTAACATGAGTGAGTGCTCTTACCTGTTATCCAATCATTTCTTTTTTAATTAACCTCCAATCATTTCTTTTTTAATTAACCCTTTTCTTACTGTTTTTTTTTTTCCTCTATGTAAATATTATGAGCTGGAAAACACCAACTTGCACTGCAGCTCAACAGTATTAAGTGTAAGACTGAATACCCATTACTTAATCCTGCTGAGGATTTTAGGAGAAGTAACGGGAATACAGTCAGTAGTATCACATTCAAGATAGCATTTATAATAATTGTGTAGTAAGAACTGTAGTATATAATGATTAACAGGCACCTGAAGAGCTCTAACTCCTCAAGGGAAAAAAAAGGAAGGGGGGGGGGGGGGAAGCAAAGAAAGCTTCCCCCCCACTTTAAGGAAAGATTGAAAGGATCATCCATGYGTTCCTACCAGAAGGATCAACAGGGTTCTGCATGACCCCATCTCAAGTTCTGCCTTCAGGTAGGTGAGTTAAATATTCCTAATATTCCTAATGCAGAATCAAAGTAGTTATGTTACCTGCTATTTTACATAGAGCAGAAACAACTACAGGACTACAAGTAAAACCTTTCTTTCCTCTTTTATGAAAAAAAATTTCACTGCTAAGTTGAGTTTTGGAGGAAGARGGGGGGAAAAGGCAAAAGCACTTCAGTTTCAGCAAGATGTGAAAGAAGGGTTTATAACAGCCAGAATGGTAAATGCAAGCTGAGAAGTGAGGTCACAAAAAATAAAAACCCTGCTGTGACAGCTAGTTTGCTGAGTGCACTCAAATTGTTAGCTACTATATTCAGTGTCATAGAGCATAGTAGAGCATGCTTCAAAAAACGCTGCTAATGTACAGCCAAATGTGCTGTTTCAGAAAGCCTTGAACTTAAAAGGCTTGTAGTAGAAGAAATAGCTTAAGTAGCTCTTTAAAGCAGCAGGAAAGCTCTTTACCTGTCATAACCTATAATATTACAAGCAAGAGTGTCYATTGTAAAAAGCAATTACTTGCTCTAGCAAAGCAGAATGACCAAGGAGTTGACTGCAAGCTTCCCGCCCCACACTGCTGGGTAGTACTTAACAGCCTGCACTCTTCTTCCTCAAGTTCTGAGCTACAKAACTAGCACTAATTCCTGTCAGTTCCACATGGATAATTCAGTGGTGGATAGGCCACATTTTTGTTCCCTTGAGCAAGGGCACTAGAACGGATTAGAATGCTTATTGCAGTTACAGCAGGAGGTTAAATTTGAGTGTGCCATACATCAGTTAGAATACTTCATCCAAACTCCTGCTGCAGCAGGATGCACTGACGGGCATCGTGCAACATTTAAGGTTATGGTGAATCAGTGGAGTTTAGATAAAGCTAGGAGAAACATTAGCACATAGTAAAACTCCTCAGCAGTTTTTTTTTTAAGCTCACCCTTCAGATTATCCCATATACATACTCCGATCTTGCAGGAAAAGAGATTTGGGGGTTGGGAAGCTAAGTAAGATCTCTGGTATAGCATCACCAATGTGAATATGCACCACCCTAAATAATATCTTTGGAAAGGTTAAAGGCAGGATGCTTCTATCTAAGGAAACATGAGCAAAATACACCTTCTTCTGTCCTTGTAATCTTGCACTTATCACCATATTCTTTAACCATAGTAGTGGTGAGAATATCAACACTAGTCCAACAGTATGGTAAAACTCTTTTAATGACATTAAAAAAGCCACTTCAAATTTAAAAGCCTGTTAATACAAGTATCATGATCACTGTGCCAATGATTAAGACAATAAGGACAGGCACAAGAGACTTATGCCCTGGAGCCCTTCAAAACAAGCGTCTCCACCATTGCTCTCTCTTAGATATATTAAAAAAAAAAAAAGAAAAAAGCACCAAACCACCACATACACCACCAACCGCTGAGGGTTTAAGTAGACCCAGTCACAGGCCCTACCAAAGGATGAGTGGTGCATATGTTCAGCAAGGAATCCTGAAGACACCTTCTTTCTAGTTAACTGTGCCTCAGTGTCCCTGTGAGGTAAGGTAAATATTTCCCCATCATTTCATTGTAAAGGAAGGAAGACRAGAGGCAAATTGCCTGAGGCTTCAGCGGGTAGATCCAGTATTATCAGAGGGAAGTTTCTGGCTCACAGCCTGGTATTCAGAGCTGAACACTGGCATGCTATGCTTAGCAATACCATTGTTCCAGCGTTCTGCAAAACGTGAGAAGCCCTTTGGTTACACATGATTTGAGTCGTCATAAGAGTTTAAGCCTCAGGACAATATCCAGATTTTAGTGGTCTAGAGCCAGACTACAGTATGACCAGCAAACTGGTTCCCAGGACATAACTTGCTTGTGTTGGTCCTAACGCAAACAGGACCTGTATTTCCTTGACACACGAGGCAGTGCTAYGCAGAGTTATTTTTTGCGTTTTGAACTGGGCCAGTCTCCCCAAGGGAGTGTTTTCTTGCCCTTTGAGATGCTCCTCAGGGAATGCAGAGTCTGCACTTGTTGTAGTCGCTTAGAGAGCTCCTGGTCACAGGCTTGCTGCAGAGCTTCAGCTTTCTGCTTGTCCCAGCTTAGAGCCGAGGCCAGGGCTTCTGTGTCTTCTTTGACAACCAGCTGTAATGAGACAGATTTTTAATCTGCTACTGCTGCTCCTCCACCACTAATACCTCTACCAGTATTAAGAGGAATAACGAGATCATCTAGTCAATAGTGACAACAGTTTGGCTTAGAATGACTTCCTGGCTCAGATTTTCTATCATTTGGGCTACGGTGTTTTTTCCTCTAAAGCTTTACCAACATTTAAAGCCATTTAAAGATTGAAGGCATATTCAGATGTCCAACAAGTGAACAGAAAACAGTTCCTCAGTTTCAATAACACAGAAAAGCTACAGTAGCAAGATCATGGCAATAGGGAGAAAAAAGAAAAACACCGCTTTTAATGGTTAAAATTTWTGTAGACTTTGTCCTTTCTAAACTATGACTTTACTTACACTACTTTGATTTGGAAATGTAAAAGAAGCAAAATTAGATGTATCTGCATTAAAAAAGAACTGATGAGACAGCTGAAGTTTTGGCAAAGATCAAGATTCTTGTGGCTTTTCAGGGGTGAATGCTAGTAAGARTGTCAGCAGGATGCTACAGAGGAGCTTCAAGCCAGGGGAAAGAGATTACTGAAATACAGAAACAAACTAGATTTCATCCCTTTGAGATAGCAGAGTAGGGAGCAGAGCCTCCAGAGGCAAGGACAGCTTCCCTCATAACCTCCCTCTGGAAGGAGCTCCAGAAGGTGCTTGTTTCTCACCCACCTCTAAGTCTTGACTGTCCAAGCAGAGTTCTGGCGCAGGTTTCCCTTTCAGGATGGCAAGGGTCTGGTCACTGAGTGCTGTTTTGGCCAAAACGCCTGTACTGCTGGTACCTGTGTCAACCACATCCATCTCCTCTCTTGGTTCAGCCCCAGACTCTAAAAAGCAGCAGAAACATTATAGCCTGTGACATAAAGCAGGGAGGCAACTCTTCTGTCCTATGTTTATTTTTGAGATTACTAAGATGTCTGAGTGTTTAGGTGCAGCCTCTAAGCTTGGAAACTCAAAATGGTAAAAGATTGCTATATAGGTTGAGCTTTTCCCTGGTCTTTTTAGCTTCAGACTTCATGAGAAGTGGGATGGAGCAGCGAAAGTACTCCTAGAAAAAAGTACCGAGAGCAAAAATAATGGTCRTCAGCTATTACACGAACACTAACAGATGCCCTTCCCCTCCCCTTGTTTATTCAACTCAATTACTTCAGTCTTCCTCGACAAGCTCCTTGTCCAGCAGCCTSCTGCTCCCTCACCTGCTGCTTTGCTGAGGATACTCTCCTCCTTCTTCAAGGCCTGCAGGTAGAGTTCCAGGAGCTGCCTTGACTGGCGTTCTTCTTCTCGCCTGTCCAGCACCTGCTGCAGGGTGTCCTGCAAAGCCTGGACCTGGGTCTGGCTTTGCTCAAGYTCCTCTGCCAGCTCTGAAGGCGGTACATCAATAAGCACCTTAAAAACAAYGAGAGGGCTCCTGCTGCTGGGCTGATTTAGCCACTCGTCCCATTCCGCTGACKAGGATGCGGACAGGAGGCTCCAGGACTGACACAGAGCCTCTGCCTTCCGGAAGGTGCAAGCGTTCCAAGGCTTCCAGGGCACAGGGAGCCAGGCTGGGCACGAGRGGCTGCAGTGGAGCTCCAGCGGAAAAGCATTCAGGAAGGGAGGAAAGCACGTGGATCTAGCGGAGAAATCCTGARCCCCCCCGGGAATCGGCGTACCCTCGTTAACGGCAAGACCCGGSCGCAGCCGGGGAGTCCGGCGCCGTACCTGGAGATCGCCTTCCGCCATGAGGATGACGCTGGACAGGTCGTGCCGCAGGCGCCGGGCCAGCTGCCGCCACCGCTCCGCGGCGCCGTCCACCTCATCCAGGGGCTCCAGCCAGCCCGGCCCGCCGCCTGCCGCGGGGAGCCGCGCTCAGCGGCGCC